CTCTCTCTCTCTCTCTCTCTCTCTCCAAGTACATGATGACAAAGAAACATACTGACAGCTGGGTCCCTCTGAGCTCCCTTGATTTTGAAGTGGGTGCTGGTGGATTCGGAGAGTCCTCTTAAAAGGAATCTTCGTGGCAACTTTCGATCATTTTTTTCATATTTCAAAATTTTGACCCAATAGTTAGTGGAGCAGAGCCTCACTGTCTCGAACCACGTGGTTTTGAGAGTACTGCAGCAGGATGTTTTGGGGCCTCACTCCACTACTCTCCAGATGCACAAAAGACAAATAAATATGGCGGGGTATCTTTACATGTTCTAGGGGAAGATTCATTTTCATTTTGCACATTTGGAGGGTAGTGGAGCGATGTCCTTTGCTTGGACGTTCTTTTCTATGCTGTTCTATTTTTAGATCAGCATTCTGCAAATCAGACAACAAGTTCAGTGCAAAGAACCTATTTTTCATTTATGATTTTTGTGTTTTAAACCACCACTACCTCCGAGCCTCATTTTGTCGAGGTCGAGGTGGATTCCGCCTGCACGCCTCACAGCGGCATTTTTTTTTTTTTTTTTTTTTTTTTTGGGATGGCACAGCGAGCCATTTTGGTCCCGTAGCACTACTCATCCCAAGTTTTCCGAAGGTTGCATTTCCGATTCTCGACTTTTGCCTCGGAAAGGTAGTCGCGGGTCACAACAAGACAAGCTTGACAATTAGACGAAAGAACTGTGAAACTTCCGATTCCGAAAATGAAAGATTCGTCCTTCCGGACGTCCTATAAAATTGGAACCATGCAGAGAAGACTGATTAGCATGGCCCATGCGCAACGACGCCATGCATAAACCGAGAAATGGTGCAATTAAAAAAAAATGGGATGTTCCTCCACAATCAAAATGTACTGTCGTTCCAGACATCCGTTAAACAGAGATGATTTGCATGGGCCCTACATAGGGGGAGATCCCCCAATCCCGACGTTATGTGGCATGACACACATAAATCAAGAAATGTCTGAAATGTTCTTCTTACATTAAAAAGAAGGGGGAGATCCCGCAATCCCGACATAATGTTTTTCCGGACATCCGTTAAAATTGAAACAAAATAGAGAAAGAAGATTAGCATGGCCACTGCGCGAGGATGATACGCATAAATCGAGAAATGGTTCATATGAAGAACAAAGAAAGGATGAGGGCATAGTCACATTACCGTCTTCTGCCACACCAAATGCAATGCACTCTCATCATCAACGAATGTATCAGGTCAGAAAGATGCCTTGTATACATTCATGATCACGGTGTGTTGTATTCATGGACCATGGGAGTACCTTTTCAGTTATTCCCTTCATTATATTTTACTGAAATCTGTCTGATCTGATGGGTAGGGACAGTAAAGCACGTGGCAAATCCCCAAAGAACCCATCTGTCCAGCCATTAATGTCAGCGTTCTGCTAACCATCATCAGAAGGTACTGTCCTCATCCAGTCATTTTTGCTGTGTTGGGGAACTTCAGTCCAGATTCAGTCCAGATTCAGTCCAGATACAGCAAGAATGACCGCGCACTCTATTTGCATGAAGATAGTAGTACATTTGCAGGCTCTCCATCCAGGATTGCCCACACAACACAGTCCTGCAGAGGTCAGCAGACCGCTGAACGAAATGAAACCCATCTGCTCAGCCATCAAATGAAATGGCAGTGGTCTTCAAGACCGGGTTACCTTCTTCCCCCGAATAGAACGTATGGTCATTATAGCTGTAATTGAGGCATCTTTCAGTCTAAATAGAGCTAAAATGACCGTACGTTGTATTCGAGGGAAGAGGGTAGGTCGCTTTTGATAACCACGGTACCTGACCCTTCGGCACATTCCCTTCCTCCCATCCCCCTGCAGACAGTCCCTCCTCTACTTTCCAACCAGCCCCGCCCCTCTGCAATTCTACCTATCGTAGATCTCTCGGCTCTGCCCGATCCCGTCCGCACTTTTGTGCGCCCACTGCCCAACACTTGCTGCACCGCTTCATGCATTTACGCCAATTCGCGGCTACCCGACACTGGGACGTGCTGTGATTCTTCGCCTATCGCCCACAATCTGAATCTGCGCACTGAGTTAGCGAGAGGTGTGCTAGTCGCGCCGCTCCTTCTGACAACGCCATTTTAATCCACCATCTTTCAGCATCCTGTCCTTTCTTCTGTGCGCTTACCTGGCTTCCACCTTGCTTTTTTCCTGTCATCATTCTCCCCACATCCCCACGTCTTTCACCTTGCCGTTCTGCCCTCGCAAAATCTTTCTCGTCCCCGAACTGCTTCTGATCTCCCGCCTTTTCAACACTCTCTCTGCGCTGCCTCCCATCTCCTCCCTTCCCAACTCTCTCTGCTCTTGCCTTCCTGCGTGCCGCCTTCCCAGATGTAACCCACCCTGTCCAACAGGTTATGTTCACCTTTTCCCTGCATCTTTCCATCTCGACCTGCCCAGAATGGATCCCGCTAGTAGTTCCTGTGTACGTAGATTCAAACACGTTGATGGCATGGAGTGCCATGGACTATTGAAGGAGCGGTACTCAGTTTTTCACAGTTTTCGGAGCCGATCCAATTTTCCCTAACCAGGTCCTCTGATAATGGGCGACCAACAGTGGGCTTGGCCAAAACGCGGCAGCGTAGGGACATCCGTGACGAAAACTATATCATTCATTGCATTTTTTAATGGAGTTTGCGATTTTTAGCGCTATTGGATCCTCCCTATGCGCAGTCCTCCATCTCTCCCTCTCACCTCGTCCTTCCTCTTTTTCTTCCAATGATTGTACTTAAACCACCAGTACCTTGCCCACCTATGTTTTCAGATGTGCGTCGGGTAACACGCTGGCCTGAAATGGAAGGGCGGCCGTTGATAAACCGAATCGGCGGGCTCTCTCAATTTTCAGGCCGGCTTGCAATGCCTGCGGCCGACAAAGGTACTACCGTCTTCCCCCGAACACAACGCACCCTTGTTTTGGCTGTATCTGGTCGGAAATATAGCTTGTATACATTCATTTTTAGGGTGCTTTATGTTCGGGGGAAGACGGTAGTGGTTTAATGTCTCTTTCTCTTCTTCAATGTATGCCATCATTTTTTACTACTCCAACGGACGCTATATTGTCTACCTGATATTGAAAACTGCATGATAGCGATCGTGTCTGCACTCTTCCAATCCAATCAGTAGATTGGAGCCATTACAAAAGGGGGCAGGTGGAAATATTTTGACTACTGAACAGATGGGAGTTATTTCATCTACATGTGTATGTACACGAAGACGTGAGTTATTTCATCTGCACGTGTACGTACACGAAGACGTGAGTTATACTGAATACTCAGTAAGTTATACACCGCGTCAAATCTATTTTTGTGAGAAGGATAATCAACTCCACAAGTATTGATTAAAACTCAAAATCTTGTGTTCGTGAGGTCCCACTCGTGGAGGTTGCTCTTATCACCTCCAAGAGTTGGTCCTTTTCAAACCTTAAACCACCAGTACTTTTCCTAGCCATTTTTCTACAACGCAGCAGTGCCTTTTGAAACTTCCATGTGCAAGGAACATGAAAAAACTCAAAATGGCTGAAAAAACTACTGGTGAAAGAAAAAAACGAGGGTGGGAGAGAACCATCTATCCTTTTGAAACTTCCATGTGCAAGGAACATGAATATGGACGAAGCATAGAAATCCAGAATGCAAAATCACATTGAAGTCCAAGTAGTCAAAGCCAGAGCAGATAGCACAATGGAACCGAGAAACCATCCATTTGAGAATGATACAGAAGAATCGTGAGTCAATGTCCAAGCCCAACAGGGCAACACCAACAGCATAACCCAATGTAGCTCTCTCTTGAGAATGGCGCCAGGCGCCCTATCTACTCTACAGACTAAGCCTACAACTACAGCAATGAAAGCAACCAGACAACTTGACTACCAGCGAGTGATGATGTCAACACCAATGCCGACCTCCACCTCCACCAGGTACGTGTCCTCTTCACCCACATTCTCCCTTGTTACCCACACAGCGCCCTTCACCTCCGAAGAACCACCTTCACCCTCACCTCCCCTGCGCCCTATGCAGCCCGGCTATGGCCGCCAAGCACCCAGTACACAGGCAGCGCCCTACCGCCTAGCGCTAGCCTGCCTCATCCCAGCGCAGCGCAGCACCTCGCATTTGCGCAGCGTGCCCGCAATGCCTGCATTGGCCAAGAATGCCTGCCCACTCGCCCTGCTTGCCTATATGCCAGTGCTGCGTGTGGGCGGCCTCCCTTCAGCCTGCGACCGGGCCCCAGTGGCTGAATCCAGCCCGATACAGTTGAGGCCCGAGGCAATGCAGTTGCGCCTCTTTCATCAAGGCCTGCGGCCAGATTCAAATAGTGGGCCGATTTCCTTTTGGCATTTTCGGCCTCTATACCCAGCATGCATTGTCGGCCTCACGTTCAAGTGCCCAGGGCCTAACTAACTCAGAGGCCCTGGGTTCTCCACATTTGCAGAGATTCAAGACTCGGTGCACTCCAACCAACTGGCGTGCTGCAACTGTATGAACCCCACTTCGGGAAATGTTTGCACAAAGGGCTCTTGTTGATTTGCTGGCCCACCTTCACTTAGGGCGGGCACTAGGCTTGCTGGGGCCTTAGCCCAAAACATGTACATCATGGCAGGGCCCCTTCTTGAGGGCTCAATCCTCACATTCCATCCCCCTTAGCTTCGAAAGTCCGCTGAGATGCTTACTTCGTAGGTGCCTTCCCTTTCAGCAGTCTCTTGTAATCTGCCACCACCTGAGGAGCTGTCTCAATCAGTTCCTCTCTGGTAAACCACCGATCTTCTTTTGGATCCGTATTATGCCTGAATCTGACGCGATACTCTCTCTTGGGTTTGGGAGGTCTTCCTCGACCCAGCGGCTTCGGAACAGGCATATCCCTGTGATCCACAATGTCGTCGATGTCCACTTGACCATCCATGGTTGGGGGCAGCATCGATCTCCTAGAAGGGAATTGATCTGTCTCAGCGAAAGGTGCAAGCTTTGAGGCATGAAAGACTGGGTGAGTGCGTAGGTGTCCAGGGACACGAATGACACTTGTGGGACCATCCATCTCATCTCCCACTATATCCAGGACTCCTAGGGACCAAAGTACTGAGGCATTAGTTTGCGAGAGATTCCAAATTCCTGTCCTAACTCGTTAGCCTTGACCCAAACACGTTCCCCTACTTGAAATGTGGACTGTCTACGGTGTTGATTCTCATAAGCAATCATTGCTTGCTGAGCTTTCTTCATGTGCTCGACAGCTTCTTGCAGCAACTTCTCATACTGCACACCATACTCAAGTGTGCCTAGAGTTGCAGCGGGTCGGTTTTCAGGTAGGAGGAAGTCTACTGCTGATCTAGGCTTCCATCCCAAGTGAAGTTGATTAGGACTAACGTTGGTACTATTGTGGACAACATTGTTGTATAGGCTGGCGATGAGAGGCAACTGCTCATCCCAATCATCCTGGCTGGGCTTGATGTAATGCCTCAGCAAGTGTTGTACAACTCTGTTCATTTGCTCGGCTTGTCCGTTGGCTTCGGGATGATTCCCTGAAGTCATCTGAAGTTGACTGCCCATCTGTTCTGCAATCTTCTTCGACAACTCACTTGTGAATCGGACATCTCGGTCACTAACGATTGACTTTGGTAAACCAAAGTCACGCACCCAGTTGTCTTTGAACAACTTGATGACATAGTCAGTTCTTGCGGTCTCTGGCATAGCCACTAGTCTAGCGTACTTGGTGAATCGATCGATGATGACGAAGATGTGCCTCTTGCCACTCTTACTAGTCACCAGGGTGTCCATGAAATCCATGGAAACACTCTGTCCTGGACCAGCAGGAATAGGCAAAGGCTTCAACAACCCAAGCGGTGCTTGAGTTCACGGCTTCTCCCGCTGACAGACCTGACAGGTCTCTACGTACTTCTTTGCGTCATCTAACATTCTTGGCCACCAAAATCGCTGTACTAGGTTAGCACTCGTCTTCTTGTAGCCGAAGTGTCCCGTTGCGTCATGGCAGTCTCCTAAGAACAAACTACGCAAAGGTTCACTAGATGGGACTACTAATCTTTTTATTCTGGCCTTATCAAGATAGAGGAGCCCATCCACCATCACAAACTCGCTTTCCGTGGCCTTGTCTTTTGCCTCAAGTTTGCGAATGATGTCCATCGTGACAGGGTCTTCTTGATAGGCTCCCACCAACGATTGAGTTACTTCATCAGATACGCCAAAGTCAGAAACTAGCGCACCTAGGTAGTCTGCTCTACGTGATAGCGCATCAGCAACCTTATTATACTCTCCCTTCAGATACTCAAGCTTGAAGTCATACTGGTCTATGACCTCAATCCATCGCTTGAGTGCATCAGAAAGAGCCGGTTGAGTCTTGATCCATTTGAGGGTCTGATGATCAGTCCTCAAGTAGAAAAACCTTCCCAATATGAAGTGTCTCCAATGGACAAGTGCGTTATATAGAGCATAGAGTTCCTTTTTTCGTAGGTGGACTTTGCCAACTTCTTTGATGGCATCTTCGTGCTCATATACTCAATCGGTCTCAACTTTTTCCCATCTTGTTGAGCCAACACTGCGCCAATGCCGTATTGGCTTGCGTCAGTGGTCACTATGAATGGCTTATGAGGATCGGGAACCATGAGAACCTCATGATTCATGAGTGCATGCTTCAATCTCTTGAAAACACCCTCACACTCATCACTCCAGTCCCACGGCATGTCAAGTCGAGTTAGATCAGTCAAAGGAGAGGCGACTGTAGAAAGTTCTTTAAGAAGTTCCTATAGTAGCCGCACATTCCTAAGAAAGMTCTGACCTCAGTGACAGTCTGAGGTCGTGGCCAGTCTCGAATACTAGCCACCTTCGCATCCTCCGGCCTAATCCCTTCCGCGGATACTTCATGACCCAAGTATAGTATCTTAGTGCGACCGAACTCACACTTCTCTAAGTTGACCTTATACTTGTGTTGTCGCAGGAGTGAGAGTACAGTCTCAACGTGCTTTGCATGCTCCTCGACAGACTTGCTAAAGATGAAAATGTCGTCAAGGTATACCACGACAAACTTATCTAAATGGTCATGGAAGATCCGATTCATAGCGTGCTGGAATGTACCCGGCGCATTGCAAAGACCAAAGGGCATCACTACAAACTCATACAGCCCGTATCTGGTCTGAAGGTTGTCTTGTGTTGGTCCTCGGGTCTTATTGCGATCTGATGATATCCGGATTTCAAGTCTATCTTACTATAGTACTTGCATCCCTGCACCCTATCCAATAGGCCGTCTATGCGAGGTAGAAGCTCTGCGTTCTTCACTGTGATGGCATTGAGGCCTCTATAGTCAATGCACATCCTCAAAGTACCCCCCTTCTTCGGTACGAATAGAACGGGTGATCCGTAAGGGGAAGTATTAGGCCGAATCCATCCCTTCTCTGTCAGCTCCTTAAGCTGTCGCCAAAGTTCATCTAACTCAGCGGGAGCCATCCTATAGATCCTTCCCTTTGGGGTCTTACTCCCTAGAATGATTTCTATAGCGTGGACAACTTTCCTTTCAACAACTCCTGTGGGCTCCTCGAACAGATCAGGGAACTTAGCAACGACGCGTTCTATCTCTGGGGGTGTTTTAACGGTCTCCCCTTTCTCAGAGACATACACAAGGTACATACCCTCCTCTTGGTTTTGTTTATAATAATGTAGAACGCTGATGCGCACAAGCAGCCATAGGTATTTATAATGTTACTGGCCTTGAACTTGGTCAATCTGACAGTTCGGCCATCGGGCAACTTATGCTTGAGCACCTTCTTATCCCAGTCAAACTGGGGCGTAGCAACTTCGAGGTAGTACATGCCTTACAACATGTCGAATGGTAAGTCGTCGCTAACCAAGAATGAAATCTTATGATTAAGTTCGCCTCCTCCATAGGAGAAGGTACAAACCACGTCCTTGATATAGTCTATTACTATCATGCGCTCCTTGTTGGCCAAAGTAGATGCTATAGGTCTACTAAGGTGTCGTACCCGGTCCTGTAGGTGCAGCCTTTCCAAACAGTCGCGACTTATGTAATTCCGCGTGGAGCCTATGTCTATGAAGGCACCACATTTGCGGCCTCCTACATCGACTTCCACCACGAAATGTTCCCCTCTAGGACCTTTCCTTAGCGCCACCCAAGACTCGCGAGGGTCCTTGTTTGACCACTCACTCTCCAAGTCTTCTAAGGCATCAGACACATCTAACGTACAGAGCATAGTTTGGTATAGATGAGTCTGCAAGGTGACTAAGGAGTCATTTGCTTTGGCCTTCTCGTGAAGTGGGGAGGGTATCTGGCCCACTTCACCAAGAGTAGAAGCAGCTAAAACTTTCACTGGCCTCACGCGTTTCCCGAGCTAGAAGCCTGGGAATAAGATGCCCCCATTTTTGGAGGTATCTTTTGCGTAACCTTTGCGTTCTGGCACTTGTACTGCGAGTGACTATATTCCCCGCAGTTGATACAAGCGCCACGCACTCGGCGGTCACGCCACACGTCTTGATCAAGACCTGCCTTCACCCAATCAGCCTGCTTGGTCTGATTGGAGGCGGCCTTCCCTTGACCCCTTGGTTGGCCCTTCCCTCGGCCACCTGCCTTAGCCCTTACAATTGCGGCGAGGGTGCTACCCTCAACGGTCTCCTCGCCGTCGTACTCTGAGTAGTCCATCAGGTCAGTGAGCTCATCGATTTCCGTTTGAGTCCCATCGAACTCAACCATCATCAACTTCGCCCCCTTCTTCTTCCACTCCTGAGGACTCTTTTTCTTCTTCGTGTCACTTTGTGAGGGTTGAGCATTGCCTAGAGTGACCTCTAAATCTAAGGCTTTCCTAGACAATGTCTCAAACGAATGGTACTCGAGGCGTGCCTCGCTGGCCAGCAAGTTCCTGATGTTCTCGAGAAGACATCTAACAAAGGTTGTTAACAGGAACTGGTCACTATAGTTGATGCCAGGGACGAGGATCAGGCTCTCAACGGTAGTCGTAAGCTCTCTGACCGACTTGAACTTTCGTTGGTCCAGTTTGTTAATCGCATCAGTGGCTCTTTGTGCCTCCTGTGGATTATGCCATCGAGCTTCTACCATTTTCATGAACTGGTCTAACGTTAATGACTTAGCCCAGTCCGCCATACGTCGCCCGTACCCTGCCTTCACAACTACACCATCTAGCCATTTGGCTGCCTTACCCTCGAGGTAAGATGCAGCAGTTACCACTTCATCCTCAGGCAAGGTCCTCTTTGCCTTCACCCAAATCGGAATGGTCCTCAACCATGTGTTGAGTTCTTCGTCCTTTCTCTCGCCTGAGAAGGCAAGAGGCGGTTTCATTGGGGTCTTAGGATACCATTGACCCTGCGGCTCTCCAGATTGCTGAACAGGTTGTTGCGGTGGTGTAGCTCCCACCGCTGGACCCGAAGAAGAAGATGCAACAGTCTGTGCGACTGCTGCAGACGTACCACTTGGTTGTGTACGAGCTTGAACTGGAAAGGGGCCGGACATCGCCGATAACGGCAACGGCGATTGTGCTGGTGGCCTAAATCCTGGCCTGGTCAGAACGTCCAGGATCTGGTCCAAAGTTTTGTACATGAAGTCCAACCTGCTGTCCACATGCGCATGCAGCGACAGCATGTTGTTCCTCAACACTTTCATGGGCTCATTCATTCCAGAGTCATCCAAGCCCTCTAACTCGGCTTTGTCAGCCTCTAATGTATCAAGCCTGGCTGTTCTATTTTTGATTTCCCTTTCTCTGTCGGTAGCTTGTTTCAGTTCCCTCTCTAATCTTTCACGGATCCTTTCGACCTGTTGGAGCTCCCTGAGCTCCCTTTCGCAAGGAGTCAACGGGCTGAACTGCGAGCCCGCCATTTGACTTGTAGACTAACGTGATCCTACTGAACTGGAAGTGCCCGCGGACCCTGTTGGCATTTCCAACTGGGGTCCAGACGAGGAGACAACAGAAGATGCAGTGGAGGATGCTGCTGCAGAAGACATGGCTGTTGCCCTGGCTGCTGCTGCAGCCTGTTCCCTGGCTGCAACGTTTGCTGCCTCCCTCGATGCTGCGAGAGCATGGACTCTGCGTTCGACACGAATGCGTCTTTCGTCTTCCGGTTGTAGGGCCTGGAACACGTGCGGGATCCTACGTGACCTTGCACGTGTTAGTCTAGCATCGTCAACTCTCTCCTCATCG